CCCCCTCCCGCTGCTGCTGCAGCGGCCGTCACCCCCGCTGCCGCCAGTGCCTCCCTTGAGCCGTTGACGCCCGCATGCAGGACGCCCATGGCGCAAGGCTCAACATTTTCCTGCAGAGCATATACAGAACGAGGGGAACAATCGCGTTCGGAAGGGTAGGAGGGGGGGCAGGGTGTACTCATTGTCGTGCATGCCTATGGTCGTTTAGACCATTGACCTCGCATTCCTACAAAGCCGGGAGGGGGAAGGGGGGGGAGGCAACATTTGAATGTTTGTTGCTACTGGTTTTTGGCGGTTGAAGACAGGCAGGCAAGCACGTGGATTCGACGACGACACATGGCTAGAGAGAGGGGGGTCACCGATGGGACGAGAAATGGGGTGTAACCACTTGTTCGTTTGTCTCTCTTGCTGTCGTGTTTTACACCCCATGTGGGCAGATCGCCCCTGTCGGTAGGAGCGTCACCAGGCCTGCCCGGATTGGGCGCTGGGTTGCGCTCTACCGAAAGCCCCATCCAGCAGAGAGGGAGTCGAGACAATAATGATGCTGCGGGGATCATGTTGCCGTGACAAGCATAAAAGCACCCGTACATGTTGCAACGCGCGGTTGGTAGCGGCGGCGTTCTCCACAGCTCCTAGCCTAGCCGTTCCTACCTTGGCGTCTTGGGAAGGGGCGGAGTCCGTGACTCTGAAAAAGTTGAAAAGAGAAATCTTGGGCTGCTGCTTGGCCTCCTCCTGCTTCTTGCGCTCCTGCATCGCGCGATTAAGCAGGGGACACGGGGAACAAAAAGACTCCTTACCGAGAGAATACGGCATCTATCCAACACCACCGTATCGAGAACAACCACATTGGACACCGACACCAACAACAACAGGACAGGACAAGAACGGACAGGACCAGGATGAAAAAAAAGTTAGAGTAGAATAGGATAGGACAAAACAACAGCTAGGACAGGACCGAATAGTACGAAGAAAGAGCTGGCATAGGATAGGACAGGACAAGACCAGGACAAGGATAAGCAATAAAACGTCAGATGAGGATGGGATAGCAAACGGAACACAGAGGATGGAACTGGACGAAGAAAAAGTGAATGAAGGGAAGGAAAGGACAGGATAGCGGACAACAAACCTCCTCGGCGGCGGCGGCCTCGGCCTTGACTCGTCTCCTCTCCTGGTCCTTGGCGTCCCTCTCCGCCTGCCTCTGCTCCAGCTTCTTCCGCCTCTCCTCCTCCTTCGCCCGCTTCTCCTCCGCCTTGGCCTCCTCCCTGCCCCTCCGGGCTGCCTCCCGCATGGCCGCCCCCGCCTCCTTGAGGGTGGCCTTCTGACGGAGGGCTTCCTCACGCCGGGCAAAGGCCATCACCTTCATCATGTCATGTGTGTGTGTTTTGAGTGTTAGCATGGACTACGCTAGATGAACGGCTGACCAAAATGAAAAATACGGCAATCTCATCGCGCTGACAGCGTAAAAAAAAGATATTCTGAAGGCTAAATCATGGTCCACGTGCGTGCGAGCGGGCGGCGTTTGACATGTAGCAGCAGCAGCAGCAGCAGCTGCAGCTGCAGCAGGTGTGGAGAGGAGTATGGATACACAGGCATGCGTGCGCAAGCACCTTCTCCTCCTCCTTGCTGATCTTGGCGGCATCGCCGGGGAACTTGGCCATGACCTCCGTGAGTCGGACCAGGGCCTTGACCAGCCGGCCCGAGTTGGTGCGGTCACTCCGCGCCGACTTGACGACCCCAGCCTGTTTTGTTAAAAAACGCAAGCGCAAACAAATGAACGAAAACTTCGGTTAGTAACGAAAAACAAAGTCTTCCACGCCCCTGTTCGAATAATTTCTTCGTCATGTTTGACAGAGAAACCCCCAACCTGCTTGTACTTTTTCGGTACTCAAAACACGTCCATGGTCTCCATTGTGAACCCCCCCCTCCCCCCCCCC